ATGATATAACCTTTGTACGGTGTCAAGCACTAAGAATTTGCACAATATTTATAAAATATCTAATATTTAAGTGCAAATTATTTAACTGTATGAAACATAAGAATTTTTGATAATAATTAAGTGTTTTGTATTATATAATATAAGATTTTTAAAAGTGTTTTGTTGTATATTATAAATCACTGTTAAATATAGAGTGATATGCAGTATATTCTTATTACATTTAATATTTTATAAATATATTTAATTTATTTTAATTTATTCATAACCCATTAATTAGCTTGTAATTATATATCATTAAGTAATAATGTATTATAATGATGAAAATCTTATATAATCTGATAAATATAATCTTGTTTTGATAATACAGTATAAGTTTATATTTATTAAAATGTTTAGAAAATCCTAATATAAAGGGTATGACTTTAGAAAATAATTTATTTTTAAATAATCATTAATTATTTATTCATATTCAGATAATTACTGTATGTTTAAAATTAGGAAAATTAAGATTTGAAAATCAATTATAATGTAATCAATCGTAAGTTTAAAATAAACATTTTAATTACATTTTAATAAAATACAGGAAAATGGTAACAATTTAAAAAGCATTAAAATAATTAACTTTCGATAACCTATTAATTAATGGCCCGGAGTGTGGAAAAGTCTGCTTGTATTGATTTATCCAGATTATTACCAAAACCAATAAAAAAGATTTTTTTACACAAAAAATAAAACAAGGATTTAATACAAAAATTAAATGAAACAGTTGTATAAATAGATTAGTGAATAGGAATATACCGCAAAAATGTGAACTAAAAGTGAACTAAAATTTAACTTATTTTTTAGGTACACCAATTACATTTGTATAATTTAAATTTTATATATTATATGCAAAATATCTAACAAATTATGCAATTGTATATTAAAAAGAGAGTTTACTGTACATTTTAAAAAATAAAATAAAAGATAAAAAATAAAAATATAAAATCAAAAGGTATTTCAAAAAATACATATTAAACTCGAAAGCTTATAAATAAAACATTTAAGTCAACGGGAAATCTCATTAAATCTCATTGATTATACAGCACTGAAAAGTTCATTTCACCAATATAATACATTGGCAATCATTGAGTGCCTACATTCAGTGGTGGAGACAATATTTGAATAATATAGCCGTTAATTCAGTGATACATATATTTCCCAATCATATGCCTCGCGAATCATAATAAGTGTATTCCTATTGCCTATTATGACAGAAAAAGTGTATATATTTCGCTATTAATGAAGACGTGACGATAAATATGATTTCACAACCAAATGTGTGTTTAGTCTTATCTATTATTTGGGAATGAGATGTGCTTTTAATGCTAAATATCATCGCAAGAATATATATGTGTGCCATATATCTGTCCATCAAATGTATGAACTATTTTTATGTATCAATTTTTTCATTCCCACACATTTGACAGTGATTTTTTATATGTCATAAATATGCATTTTCTCTATTATTGTGGTATATTCCTAGTACTATATATATACGGATTCTGTACTTAATTAACATAAGGTTGTTATTACTATATATCCATCACATTATCAAACAAAATCAATATTCAAGTGATCGACGAAAACCTTCACTTTTTTTGCAAATAAATCTTTAAAATTATTTTTATTCAAAAAAGGCTTTGATGTGATTTTTTCGCAATTTTACCATTTCATTACCAATACATTAATTGTCTTACTGAACTTGAATTCACTTGTTATTACAATTTTTTTAATAGTTCAGTCATAGAAAATATTTCACATTCATTGCGATCATTATTACCGTTAAATGTTATTGTAGTATATTATTAATAATTAATTGCGAAAAATAAATGCTCGCATTATAAATGCACTAATTTTTGTTACAAAGTTATAGATAATTAAAATATAAATTTTTCCATTAATTAGTGAATAATAATAATAATAAGGTTTTTGTTATGTATTTATGAATTTGCATAAACAGTGCAATTTTATTTCACAGTTAAATCTCTGCTCCCAATACAAGGTCTCGATATTTCAGTGAATATTTAATATTACCTCAAATATTATAAGTTATAACCGATTAACCAGTTTTCAAGTTTCAAGAAAATATTTGTCTCGCAAAAAATTTTAATATTGAAATTTTTAAACAATTTTTAATTTTATGTTTTGCAGTTAGTATTGATTTTGTGTGTTTTAAGATTACATTTATATTTTCAAATTAATTAATTCAATAAACTTGTTAAAACTTTACTATTGATTTAAAAGTTTAATTCAATTTTGGTTTACCATAATATTCTGTGCCTTTGTTTGAAGTGTTTTTATAAACGTGTTATTTATTGCAAGAATTGTTGTCAAGAATTCACACAAAGTTTTGATAAATATTTTATTATATTATTCTTATTATTCCGTTATTTCTTTCATAACAAAAACTTCACAACACTTTTGAATTGAAAACAAATTATATTATAATATCCGTATTCAATAGTTTCCTGAACATTCAACAGGTATTTAATCTATTTATAACATAATTTTATTCAATGACATTTATCCCAGGCATATTTGTCAAAAAATATTCTGACGTTTAATACAAATAACAATTAAAAAGTAAACATAGTGATAATAAGCTTAACATTGAAAATATATTTTTTATTATAATCATTATCACTCCCTTTCTAATTAATACAATAAATATTTTAAATATTTATAAAATATTTAATTTAATCCTTATATACAATACATGTAAAGAATTTATTACCCAATAAATATTTTACAGACATTTCTAAGTATAAGACACTCATATGTGTCTAATAACTATAATTTGAGACACACTCGAGAATTTGAGTAGTGATAACTAACTATTAATTAAAATACCTTTGTATTTTCTTATCTAGCGAGTAATTGATAAAATAATTTTCGTTTATATCGATTACCAATAGAATTTTTTCAAACCATTTATTTATATTCAGCTAACTTTTAACAATATTATGATAAAAATATCTATTACTTTAAAATACAATAAATTAGTAAATTTTTCAGATTTTCTTACAGTGCATATCATATTTAGATAGAGTTTCATCAAATCAAATGTTTATTATAATCATACTCGTTGATTAAATACAATTTCGCATAAATAATATACGTAAAAAATTTTTGACATTTAAAAAATTCATAACACATATTATTGAATAATATCCAAAAACAAAAAATTCCTATTAAAATCTCTAACACAATAGGTAGAGATTATAAAAATATAACTCACAATTAAATAACCCTCACACTATATAATATACAGTACACATTTGTGTACTAATAAGTCTTTTTGATAACAACTATTCGCATAACAGTTTCAATATTATTTATGTTGTAATCTTAAAAGTACAAAACAATTGTGTATTTACAGTACAACTACTTTGTGATTAATCTAGCAACTTATTTATTTGAGAGTATTTCATTTCATAGACACCTTTAATCTGAGCTGCACCGATCAAACCTATCCCTGTAAGTAGGCTTCCCCTATGAAAGTGTATGGGCATAATTTTAAAATAAAGGGTTAAGCTGGTTTTATGAAATATGATCAGATAGGTGGGCTAACATGCAATGTAAGGTGCAGGCTCAGATTAAGGTTCAATTTGTTTATGAAAAGCAGCCTAAATCTTATAAATGATGTCAATGTTATTTATAGCGATAAAGTGATACATCGTATACCAATTGGAAAACAATTAATATCTCATCAAAAATCTCAGCCAAAAATAAATCATTAATTTCTGAACATGTCGTCCGATAATAATAACGACGACCGGAGGAGTCCGTCCCTATGGGTCTGGTTGGCCGCCCTATCGGCCCTTATGTCCGCCATGACTATGGGCGCCACGTTAGGTAAGCAACCAATAAATGCTTATTAATTACTATTTTAATATTTAAAATGTCAAAGATAAAATATTATATGGAATAATCATATATTCTGTATTTCTAGTAGTATGAAATTATTATAGTTATAATAATAATATATTATTATACAGAATATTTGAGTAATGCTTATAAAGCTAATTATGATGTCCAAAATAAATAGGATGGAGTGCACCGGCACTTCCAGACCTTCACAACAACGCCAGTTCCCTGTATCTGACGGCCGCTGATAAGGACACCGAGACGTG